AAGAAAACTGAAAACATATGTCCACATGAAGTCTTGTAATAGCTGTTCCTGGCAGCATTATTCACAATAGCCAAAAAGTAGTTTGGAACAACCCAATGTCCATCAACTGATGTGTGGATAAACAAAATGTGGTATATTTACATATAAATGCGTTTGACAATTAAAAAAATGAAGTACTGTCACATGCTACAATATAGATGAACCTTGAAAACATGCTAAGTGAAGGAAGCCAGTCATATACTTGTAGGATTCTATTTATATGAAATGTCCAGGATAGGAAAATCCTTAGAGATAAAAAAGTAAATTAGTGGTTGCCTGGGGCTGGTGAAAAATGGGTAGTGAGTACTGATAGGTATAGGGTTTCTTTTTGAGCTGATGATGCTGTTTTATTATTATTTTTTTTAATTTTTATTTTTTTTAAAGATTTTATTCATTTATTTGACAGAGAGAGAGAGAGAACAAGTAGGCAGAGAGGCAGGCAGAGGGAGAGGGAGAAGCAGGCTTTCCGCTGGGCAGGGAGCCCGATGCAGGGCTCGATCCCAGGACCCCGAGATCATGACCTGAGCCGAAGGCAGCAGCTTAACCGACTGAGCCACCCAGGCACTCCTGATGATGCTGTTTTAAAATGGACTGTAGGGGTGCCTGGGTGGCCCAGTCTGTTAAGCATCCGACTCTTGGTTTTGGCTCAGGTCCTGATCTCAGCGTTGTGAGATCGAGCCCTGTGTCCCACGCCCCACTCAGAGTGGAGTCAGCTTCAGATTCTCTCTCTCTCTCTCTCTCTCCCTCTGCCATTCCTACTGATGCTCTGTCTCTCTAAAATAATCTTAAAAAAAAAAAAAAATGGGTTGTAGTGATGATTGTAGAGCTCTTTGAATGTACTAGACTGTTGAATTATGTACTTTAAATGGATGAATTGTATAGTATTTGAATTATATCTCAGTAAACCTGGTAGCAGAAAAAATTATGAAACAATTAGGGAAATCTGAAGATTTGGTAGACCATGATACTAGGTATTGTTAACTTTTTAGGTATGATGGTGGTATTGGAAGTTATTTTCATTTAAGGGAAAATCTTATCTTTTAGAAATACTAAAATATTTGTGGATAAAATAATTTAAAAAATTATTCTCTTGACCCTACCTATCCCTTGAAGTATCACTCCACTTTTCTTCCCCACCCCCTACCTCCCAGCCCAATTATCTATCTTCCCTCTTTCCAATTCTGTTCCTACCACTCTCTTTTGAACCCATTCCAATCAGGCTTCCATCCTCACCCCTCCAATGTTATGGCCAACAATTATAGCCCATTGGCAATTGACTTGGTCGTTCTTCCTGCTTTCCCTTTATTTCAGTGGCTGACCCTTCTGTCTCCTTTGTTGGTTTCATTACCCTCTCAGTCCTTAAATGCTAGAGTGCTCCAGGGCTCAGTCTTTATTTATTCTTCAGGACTCAGTCTTCAGATAACTTTCTCAAATTTCTGTCTATACTTAATATCTAGATGATCTCATGGCTTTTAATACTATGTGCTTGTGTCTCCCAAATTTACATACCCAGCCTAGAGCTTTCTTCTGAACTCCAGATTCAAATATCTAACTGCCTTGATATTTCCACGTGCTAATTTAATAGGCATTTCATTGTTTTGTTTTGTTTTTTTAAAGTAGGCTCCACACCCAGTGTGGAGCCCAACATGGGGCTTAAACTCACGGCCCTGAGATCCTGAGCTGAGCTCAAGAGTCAGACGCTTAACTGACTGAGCCACCAAGCACCCCTTAAAAGACATTTCAAACTTAACATCTCCAAAACTGAATTTCTTATTGCTTCCCATTCCCATCCTGCTCCTCCTGGTCTTTGCCACTTCAGTAGATGGCAACTCCATTCTTTAAACTGCTCAGTCAAAAAATATTGGGAGTCCCCTTAACTCCCCTTTTGCTTACACCCTGCATCAATTTATCAAATCCCATGTGCCATCCTGGCTGAATATATCCAAGACATCTCATCACTCCACTGCTTGCACTTTTCCCAAGCCACCACTGTCTCACTTTCAGAATTGCAATAGCCTCCTAAACGCTCCCTCTTGCTACCCAACAGTCTATTCTCAAAACAGAAGCTAAAGTGATTCTTTAAAGATAGAAGTCAAATCATTTTATTTCTCTGCTCAAAACCTTCCAATGGCTTCCCCTCTCAGTAAAAGCCAACATTCTTACAATGCCCTGTAAATCCCCACATAATTTGGCATCCTGTTACCTCTGACCTCATTTCCTACTTTCTGCCTGCCACACTCTGCTTCTGTCACTCTGGCCTCCTTTCTGTGCTTAGAATGTAGTGTAGACATCCTCTTCCCTCAGAATGGTTTCTGCACTTGCCATTCTTTCTACCTGGAAGGTTCTTCTCCCAAGGACATTTCTTGCTCCCTCACCTCCTTCAGATGTGTACTTAACGTATGTTTCTCAGAGGGCCCCTGCCCCACCAGTCCTATTTAAAAAGAAACTTCTTTCCCTATCCTCAGCAGTCCTTATTTCTCCCTCACTGCTTCATTTTTTCCCTGTAACATTTATCCTACCTGACACAGTTTATATTTCATTTACCATTTTATTTTCTATCTCCTATGAGAACATGGATTCCCCACCCCCCCCCAAGTGTTTGGCACATAGTTGGTACACAATGTTTCTAAGCGTATGAATGCTACTTAAAATGCACTTATATTCTCTGCTTCACTGTTTACTGGTGCTAGCTTCATAAGCATTTGGGTATGCATCCCTGAGGAAGATGAGACTGACTGAATAGAAACACTGTCCACTCACTCAAGACTATGATATCTATCTTTGTAAAGGAGACCAAAGCAGAGAGTGGAATTCTAGAGGTTCAGTTTTCAATTGCAGCCTTGGTACCAATAAGCCATGTGACATTGGGCAAAAAAATTTTCCTTTCTGGCCATTTATTTCCTCCCCTGTCAAATGGATCATTGCTTTGAATGATCCCATAAGGTTTTTGAGAATGTAAAATGAAAGATAAAATGTTGAGTAGGAAATGATGTGTTTTATTTTCTCTAGTACATACAAAAATATACTTACCTGGCCTTTTATTTTATTTTTATTTTTTATTTTTAAGATTTTATTTATTTGACAGAGCGAGACACAGCAAGAGAGGGAACACAAGCAGGGGGAGTGGGAGAGGGAGAAGCAGGCTTCCCGCAGAGCAGGAAGCCCGACGTAGGGCTCGATCCCAGGACCCTGGGATCATGATCTGAGCTGAAGGCAGACTCTTAACGACTGAGCCACCCAGGCGCCCCTATTTTATTTTAAGATTTTATTTATTTGAGAGCAATGAACCAACTTGGAATCAAACCTCAGAGTTCTTTTAAGGACCTCAGACGGTGCAGTTTTGCTGTGTTAAGCCCTTATAATACTAGTAATTTGACTGTGAAAGTTCTCAATGTCAGCCTATTCTTTCTCCTGGGAAGACTCACTTTTTTTTTTTTTTTTAAGATTTTATTTATTTATTTGAACGAGAGAGAGAGAGCACAAGCAGGGGAGGCAGAGGGGCAGAAGCAGACACTCTGCTGAGCAGGGAGCCCAACACAGGGGCTTGATCCCAGCACCTTGGGATCATGACCTGAGCCAAAGGCAGACGCTTAACTGACTGAGCCACCCAGGTGTCCCCGAAGACTCACTCTTGACATCTGAATTGTTTTCTTTCAATATCCTTGTCCAAATTAGTGAGTAGTCAGTGCCCATGCATGTCCAGATCACATGGGAGTTTTGTTTCCTAATCATTTGTGTGTATGTGTGGTTGGTGAGTCTTCCCGCAGCCCATCAGTAACCCAGAACATTGATTTTCTCACTGGTAACTGTGGTGAATAACAATTGGCTCATGTTTATTTTGATGGATTCAATGACATATCAATACTTTACATAAAACAGTAGTACAATGCCTGGGATATTTTAAAGCCTCCATAAATTCTCTGTAAAAATGGAGTATGTATTGAGCTTCTACTGCCAGGGTCACTTCCTAAAACAGTTCTTTTACCATATTACTATCCCCAGTCCAGAACCTGAAACAATTCGGCTTTCTCTACTTGGTTTCTAAGTCTTCCCCATCCTACTGAAAGCAGAGTCTCAGAGATATCTGTACACCCATGTTCATAGCAGCATTATTCACCCTAGTCAAAAGGTGTAATTAACCCAAGTATCTATTCTGGTATACAAACACAATGGAATATAATTCAGCCTTAAAAAGGAAGGAAATTCTGACACATGCTACAACACTGAAGAACCTCCAGGACCTTATGCTGAATGATATAAGCCCGTCACAAAGAGACAAACACTGTTATGATTCTACTTGTATGAGATATCTGAGTTGTCAAATTCAGTGACGTAAGTAAAATGGTGGTTGCCAGGACTTGGGGAGTGGGGAATGAGGAGTTGTTTAATAGTTATAGAATTGCTGTTTTAGAAGATGAAAAGAGGGGACATCTGGGTGACTCAGTAGGTTAAATGTCTGCCTTCAGCTAGGGTCGTGGTCCCAGGGTCCTGGGATTGAGCCCCACATCGGGTTCCCTGCTCAGCCAGGAGCCTGCTTCTTCTGCTCCCCCTGCTTGTGCTCGATCTCTCTCTCTCTGACAAATTAATAAATAAAATCTTAAAAAAAAAAAAAAAGATGGAAAAGAGTTCTGGAGATGGTTGCCCAGCAATGTAAATGTACTTAACTCTACTGACCTATGTAGTTAAGAGTGGTTAAAGTGGCAAATTTTGTGTTATGTGTATGTTACCATAAAGTTAAAAAACAAATCCCGCATCCTAGTTTTCAAACCTTACTTTCCACTCTTCCCCCGTATTCCACACCCCCCACCCCTTTTTCAAGTTACTGCTCTCTACATTGTACTCCCAGCAAAACACTTCCTTTTCAGCCTTTGCCCCAAGGAGTTTCTTCTCTGGAATGCCTTCATCATCACCCACCCATTTTCAAAAGGTTGTCTGTGCTTTCGCCCCGAAGACAGGTTTACCTTTTCTAGATCCAACCAGAAGTCACATCCTCCATGACACGCCTACACCTTCAAACTAGAGTCCTTGGCCTGTCCTGCACTGCAGAGAGGAGCAAACACATGGCTTTACTGTTTTACCTTCGTCTCTCCGACCGTAACATCTAAGCTCCTGAGTATCAGGGGCATTATCTCACCATCCTCCCGCACCCCTCTTCTAACACAAACACACTCACTCCACCACCACGGAGCTCGGCATTCAAGAGCTCCCAGTGAAAACTCAATGCGTTGGGCATCGAGATGGAGGAAAGTCAACTCACACTCCCGAAGAGTGATTTCGTCGACGCAGTGTGTAATTTCACACAAAAGCTCTCAGTGTCAAATTACCTGCGAACATAGGGGTTTGACGCGGCAAAACTGCGGGTCCTTGGGGATCCTTAAAGGCAGCCCAATAATTTGCACAGCTTTCTACCCTCCGAAACACGTTCTCACGTGTCATCCGAAAGTAATGCGAGAGGGAAGACAGAAGCAGCGTTATTTGCGGAGGCGCTCAAGTAAGAAAGGGGTTGTGACTGGCCGTCTCAAGAGTCTCCGAGGCCTCAACGGGGCCGACTGCGCTCCAAGAAGAGCAAAGAACCGTTAAAAAGTTGTGCTTCCGGCTCAAGTGTCGGCGCCTAATTGAGAGGGAAGAGAGAACGGACGCAAGCCCGGGTACGGAAAGTCGCAGGGCACAATTTCCTTCATCCTAGTCGCCCGATGGTGGGGGCGGGACGCGCGTAACCCAGAAGTGAAAGTCCGTTTCCTTCAGGTATTAGACCCCAACCACAGGAAGTCCCGGCCGGACGACTTTTATCCAGGCTTTCCTAACTCCCCCTCAGCTCTATTCACTGCACTGCCTGCATTGTGGTGCTCTGTCGCCGCGGGCCCTTACATCCACCCTCGTAGCCTAGCCTGAGTTTTGCCGCAACTTCCCAGGGACCCCAACAGAACCCTGCCACCCTTCCCTTAAAGAACCTTTACCCTACGGGTCCCCATCGGGGTCAATTAACGTTCTCGGAGGGGGCAAAAACTCCTGGGATTTGCAGGTCCGGTAGCCCAGAGCAGCCAGGCCGGCGCCTGCGCGGGGCGTTACCATAGAGAGCAGCCGCCTCTCTGGTCTCGGTTTGCCCTCTCTATGGTCGAGCCGGGTCCGTGGCGGTAAAAGGGAGACTGTACTGCGCAGGCGCTCTCGGCTTCTTATTTTTTTTTTTTTTTTTTTTTTAATCCCCGCACCAAGCGCTTAACCTCATTGGGGTGGAGGAGAAGGCGGCGGCTGTCTGGTCTGCAGCGGCAACAGTAGCGAATAATACGACTGTAAGTACCCGGTCAGGGCGAGGAGATTTAGATCCAGCCCTCCGAGGCCTTTGCCCCCTCCCCTGCGGTGGCGGGCGCTGGGTCTGGGTGGGGGCGATGTCCAGCGCTGTCATCGGCTCTTGGGTGCACTTTGGGGGGAGGGGGCGGCCCTTAGGTGGGAGCCGAGCGGGGAGCGGGATGGGAGGGTTGTTTATCCACCCGGGAGGTCGCTGATCCCAGGCTGCTTTGCAAAGGGAGGAGGGGGCGGCTGTGGGGTCAGCCGGGCTTTGTGTGCCCCTCTCTCTTTTCCTCTCCCAGACCGCACCCCGAGCCCCCTTCCTGACCCGAGTCCTCCCGGCCCAGTGGGAGAAGCCAGCGAACAGCCCAGTCGCGTTTGAAAAGAGCCCGGGATTGCGAGGGGAGGGGGCGAGGGAGAGAAACCCACAACAACTAGTCATCGGCGAGTGATGGGTGTGGAGAAAGATCCAGAGGGAAGGGGTGCCGGGGAGGCGGGCGGCCGGGGCTCCCTGCCGGGCCAGACAAAAGCTGAGCGAGCGGCGCCGAGCCGAGCTGGGGGCCGGGCGGGATGCAGAGGGTCCCTTGGTCCCTGGGGCCCGCTGAGAGCTTCTTTCCAAAGCTGGGAAAGCGGACAAGTGCTGAGTTAAGCCTTGTGCAGCCTGCTCAACTTGCCTTTGTTGTTCTTTGGTATTGGCAGAACCGCTCTGACGAAGATGAGAGTGTGATCTTGCACGTTAGCCTGGTTGGGTACAATGGAGCTAATCGAATTTTGCTTTCCATTTTCCGAGCCGCTCGGATGAGTATGGGGTTTTCCAGAGTCTAACTTATTACATAATGTTATTAAAATAGTTGTGTTTATTTCTAAGATTAAAAAAAATTAGGTGGAGCCTTTTGAAGCATGTTTTGTTGCATCCGGATGAATTTATTTGTTGTGGTGTTCGTTCATTCGATACTGACCGTTCGTAGAACCCGTGAGTTCTTTAATCATGATACTTTAATTTGTAGATGTGGCAGTGAGAGCTTCGGATTCTATAGTCCTTTGGGAGGCAGTGATGCAGAAGAGTCAGAAGGGAGAAATAGTTGCATGCTGCCATGTGCCTTGCATCCTATTCTGGTGCCACAGTCCCGTATGAATTCTAGCTTTAGAGATTGTTGCTTTTATTACTATTATTATTTGTGATATTTACTGAGCTTTGGTATGAGGGATCCTGGACAGTGGGCTCCTTTTGCTCATAAAGGGAGTGAGAGAATAGTAACATTGATGCAGAGACCTTATAGATAAAAACAAAAAACCACAATGTCCCAGAGTTAGTGAATATTATTTATCTTCTCCATTTGCCAAGAAAGATTTAAATTTTCGTGAGCTGTTTGCTTATTCATTTTGGTAAAATCGTGTAACTGCACCTTTCTTAGCAATTGTTACTCAAATCTGTTTCTGCAATTCATAGTTTGTCAGCTAACATGCAGCAGCACTATTTCAGATTTTTTAAAGTTTCGTTTTTTTTTGTTTTTTTTTTTTACTGATTTTTCAGCCCTAACTTTATATTCCCCCAACTAAGGTTTACCAAAGTTAGAAATCCTTTGAAGTGACCGTTGGTGGTGGGGGTGTCAAATATTATATCTCCATGTTACAATCTAAGCTAAGTGGTAAATACAGAAAAGGCCTTTGCTAACCTGACACCTTAAATTACTGTTGGAATTGAAAACCTAGATCTCCTGGTATGTCAGGATTTGGGCCACACACTCAGCTTTATCTAAAAGAGGTAAGCATTTTTTGTACTAAAAGGAAGGAAAAAACTGAAGCTTGGTGTTTATGCTTCAGTAACCACTGCGGTAGAATCTCTTGAAGTGTAGTTAGGTTGATGGGAACTTACTTTTTATAGAGCAAGATTTCAGATCCTTAAAATAGTTTGACAGGGACGCTGAGAAATGATTGGCCAAAGAACATTAAGTTTATTGTTCATATGTATTATGTTTTGTCCATTGGTTTTGGATTTAGTTTGTTTTTGCTTTAGTAGTTAATTCTATTTTCTTGGGTGGCTCAGTTTCACAGTTTATAAGTTGAGTAAGAGATAGTTTCTTGGATCTGAGACCTAAATTTATTTTTGAGACTGCATTTCTTAACAGTCTTCTATTTGTAAAATCATCATTTTTAGATTATAATACTTTTAATTTAGTATTATTGGTAAATATTATAACCACTTAAGTGATTATAATATTAGGCTAAGAGCTGAGTTATTAAAACTGCCAGTTTTGAAAACTGCAAGAAAAATGGAATCATATAAAAGTTTTCCTAGAAAATAAGAGAAGGATCTATTAGTCTTAAAAAAAAAAAAAAAAAGATGCAAAACTAAGCGAAGGACCAGTCGTTGCTGATAGAGTTTTTGGTTTGTAAAATGTAATTTAAGAAAGTAAACGAACCTTTCTTTACCCAGGGCAAGCAGGGCAACCTCCATAACATGTGTGTGTTTGACTAAATGACCTCCAAAGGCCTTCTCCTTTTAAGCCCCAGAGTTTAGTGTTTATTTCTGGTGGGTCTTCATCACCCCAGGGCTTGCCTGCCTCCTTTATGCTCAGACCAGTACTGCCATACTGCAGGCTTTTCTTCCCCAGATTCTTTTTTTTTTTTTAAAGATTTTATTTATTCATTTGAGACACAGAGATACAGAGAGAGAGAGAGAGCATGAGCAGTGGGAGAGGCAGAGGGAGAGGGAGAAGCAGACTCCCGGCTGAGCCAGGAGCCCGATGTGGGGTTCGATCCCAGGACCCTGGGATCATGACCTGAGCTGAAGGCAGACGCTTAACCATCTGAGCCACCCAGGCGCCCCTCTTCCCCAGATTCTTATGGCAGCCCCAACCCACCTCCCCACGTGGATTCCTAAAGATATGGCTCAAATGATGGCCTTTCTTTCATAATGCCTGTGTTGACTTCCCTCTTGTTTCCTGCCTGGAAATCTCCTCATTCCTTGCTGATTCCTGTTGTATCCATTACCTTCCTCCCTGGAAGATTGACGCCTGTGCTTTTATTCTTCTCCAGATCCTTGAGGGCTCTGGGGGTTTGTATGACACGATGGTATCCTCTGTACTTACTACCAGGACTTGTGTAACTAGGAACTTGTGTAACTAGTCACGGTAGATGTGTGAGATGTGAAAGAATGAACAAATGTATCATAACTTAGAATAGAAGACTTTGAACTTTGGAAGAGCTCTTAGAGGCTCCATAGACCACTTTCCTACCTTTTGTCTACTCTGTTCTGATCATCAGCCTCACTCTGCAGATGTGCTTCTCTGTTACTGGACAGGTCTTGGTTGCTAGAAAGCTAGTTTAGACTGTGTCAAAATCTGCCACTCCCCTGTTACCTGTTCTTGGTTATACTCCTTGAAGCAACATGAGTTAAGTCTGTTTCTTCTCCACATAATAGCTTTCATTTCCTAGGACAGTCATCAAGCCTTCTGTAGATTTATGGATGAATTAATTTATTAAACCCTTTCTTTAGTTAGATACCAGTACCATGAGGGTACTGTTGAAAAGACTGTATGTTCCCCACACTTCCAGGGCTCAGTCTAATAGAGGGCCAGAATGTTACAAAGTGAGGCCAGTTATGCTGGAAGTATGTAAACAGGCTAGCTTTATCCCCTCATGGTTTTTTTTTTTTTATTTTTAAAAAGATTTTATTTTATTTTTTAAAAAAGATTTATTTATTTATTTTAGAGAGAGAGCCAGCAAAAGTGTGCAAGCTTGGACTTGCAGGGGGGAGAGGCAGAGGGAGAGAGACTCTCAAGCCAATTCCGTGCTGAGTGCAAAGTCTGTGGGGCTCCATCTCACGACCCTGAGATCAAGACCTGAGCTGAAACCAAGAGTTAGATGCTTAATCGACTCTGCCACCTAGTCGCCCCAAGATTTTATTTTTTTAAAGTAATTCCTACACCCAACATGGGGCTCAAACTTATAACCCCTAGGTCAAAAGTCACACGCTCTACCATCTGAGCCAGCCAGGTGCTCCCTCCCCTCATGGTTTAATCAGATTTCCCCATGCTGCTTTCTTTAGGCAAATGCAATGTCTGAAATGAAACAGAATTTGCTGTGACCTGACCAGAGTATACAGCTGTTGTCTTAGGTTAAGAAACTGTATCAAGAGTTTTCAAACTTTGTTGTACATTCTGGCTCTGCCACTTACTAGCCCTGTGACTTTGGGCCATGGGCCTGTTAAATCATCTCTTCCTATTTAATAATTTCATCTATAAAACAAGGGCGAGGGGAGGGCAGTGTTAACAGTAGTACCTACTTACAGGGTTGTAAGGATTAAATGAGATAATATTCGTCAAGTGCTGAGAGTGGTGACTGACATATAGTAAGTGGGTATACATGGTATTCCTACTATGTATTTGTGATAGGAGTTAATATTAATAACAACATAGTGTAAGAAGCAATAATCAAGTCAAAGAATCA